TTCCTTTTCTTAAATCTATCCTTGGAAATGACAACCAGGATGATTATGCACCACTTACATTTTTGGAGAGCTAAATTAATTTACATACTGTAATATGTATGTATATAGCGAATGCTTATCTAAATGGCTTTTAATTGTATGCGTGTGTCTATTGTTGGTTCTTTGTGTCTGTCACATTATGGAACATTGCATCAAAATAAAAGTCTCAGAATCAGTGTCACACATTGTCAAATTTGTATCTGGCATTAGTCAACAAAATATTTAATTCACATTCCATTAAATGTATTAGTTATAAGCAATTTCTTTTTTTATTACAAAACAAAAGATCATACCATGTAGGACAACAGAGGAAAACAAAACAATGAACAGAGGACAATTCCAGCCAGAGAACAAGACTACAAGGTATGTGTTTCAGACTAGCAAGAAGTCTCCAAAGTGGGTGGGAGAGAGAGAAAGCCAGAAAGGGAGGAGCCTCGGGGAACAAACAAACAAAAATAAATGTACACTAATGGTAATAGTAACTTTGCCACTCTCAATATTACTACTGCTATTATTACTACCACAAGCACTAATGCGCTGCATGTCAAAGTGTCCTTGAGTAAGATGCTGAATCTTGATGCTGTGCTGAGCATTTACACACTTTTAGTCAGATGTAGTTGCAGACTTGGTTGTGGGGAAGAAGAATATGGTGACCCAGCTTATGTGCGCCCGGCAACAGGCTCATAATCATATATCCCAGACTCCTTCAGTTGTGCTTTAACCTGGAATTAATGTTCTAGATAGTTTGCACACTCATTACAGTAACCATGTGACTTTGATCTCAGCTCAACTACAATAACAGTTACAAACTCTTCTCATATGTTTCACTATAAAACTGTAAATGGTATGTATGTATACTGCTCAGCCAACAGTATTTTTTAACAAGTATGGTACTTCATGACTTGAACAGGCCCTGCTGAAAAATGGGTGCACCTCACACTGAACCCTAAAACAATGCTTTTGAGTCAGTGGTCATCTTCATTATATGCATCATTTATCAAAGAACATTTGGCTTACAATGTTGCTCCTTTAATAATTTATTCATGACTTTGGACTGCATCATGTCAAACATAATCAGAACAAAAGGACACAAATGCTTCCATCCCTAAGTGTACCTACCTTTGACAAACATTATATTCTAACACTAATCTAAACTAAATAACTAACCCCTTAAAAAAAGTGAGGACTTGACCAAAGTGTTCAAAAATGTCCACCCTCTTAACTCACAAGGATAGAAGTAGAAGAAAACAAACAAACAATTGATGAGAACAGCAGAATACATTTAAAATATCAATAGAACAGCTAAATATATACAGGTTCTCTCTCCAACGTCCACAGCAGTGTTCACTTGTTTGTAAAAAAGCTCCTCATGTGATCTTCTGAGTGCTGATGATGTCGCCGAGCTTCTGTTTTATTTTCACAAAGAGACGCTTAAACTCCAGACCGTCACCCTGGAAACACACAGATACAGGTCAACATCTCCCTGAAGAAAAAGTGCACTCACACAAACGTACCCATTAGGTGATTAGGTGCAGTTTGTTAATACTGTTTTTTAGTTTAGTTTCTAATATATTTAATATAATATAATATAATATAATATGTTCAAATGGATGCTAAATCTGTGGGGTGGAAGATAAACAGGCCTTCTGAGGATGGTAAAACTCTCAAACTCAAGCAACAAACAGATTTATTTAAATGCTGGATGAGGATGCAAGTACTGATAGATCTGGATACTGCATGTTTTGTTGTGTTTCTTACATTAGGGCACCAACCAGCCCTGTGAGTAGCACGATGCGGCAATAACATTATATTGCAACTATTTTGATAGATATTGCAATATGATTTATGCTTAGTGGGGGAATGATCATTCCTGCACTGCGGTTGTTTTGTTGGGAACATTTCTTAAAAGGCTTGTTGCTTTTTCTCACTAACAGGTTATTGCTGCTTCTTTACCTCTTCCATTATTTTCTTTTTTGGGGTCAGTAGCACACTTAAAGACAGTGCCTAGTGGTTGTTACCCTATTGTCTCAACTTAAATGTGGTAATGGATTATTCATGTTAGAAACACTATATTTACTATTTAGAAAATGCTCAAGCCCACCTTAGACAGTCTGAAGTCCAGCAGCACTCTCTGGTTCATCTCTAGCAAATGGACTTTGAAGATGAGTTTGTTGTTGCGTTTGTCCAGTGTGCTCACCGTCACCTAAAGAAGCAGAGAGAGGTTCAGTGTCAAAGAGTGCACTTAACCTCTAAATTTTTTAATCCTGTATACTTGAGTACATATGTACCTGTTTGTTGCAGGCGAGTTTGAAGGCAAGTGCCAGGTCATCGCAGGCATCTTTCAGGGCAGTTAAGGAAGTGTCAGCATTGACAGTGGTGAAGAAACGCGTCATTCTCCGCACTAACCTCTGCCACGGCGACTACACACAGGAAGTAAAGAGAAGTTAGGACAAAGTGACAGCATTAATGCATCAATGTGACATTTTAAGGAAGGATTTCATAAAATATAAAGTTGCCTTTGTATAGAAAAACGTGACAAAAAAAAAAAAATCACGTCTGCTCTTGTGTAAAAGAAGAACGGAGCCTGTTTGCTGAAAATTCACACACACTGTCAGATATATTCTGTAAAGAAATTACAAACTGATGTAGCACTGAGTGTGTAAATTACCTGACTGGCTCCCGGTGTGCCCAGCAGCTGACTACCCAGCAACATGTGCTCCGGTTTGGTCGGCTGAGAGAAGCTGACCTGACCGTCGGTTTGGCCTATTACCAACATTGCTTCCCAGCCACCTGCTGCAAAATCAGGCTGAGAGCTGGAAAACTGCATCCGGTCATCACTATAAAAAGGTAGGAATGTGGTCTCAATATTACAGGCACACAAAACAAATACACCTGAGAGTTAAAACTAAGAAACACACAAAGCTCTGACCTGTTGGCCCGGGATATGACTCCCACATCTGATCGAAGAATTTTGTTTCCTCCAGAGCCCAGAGGTGGTTGCTTTACACCTACAGAGATACAAAAACATCAGTCCAGTGAACATCAAATTAAAAGTTGAACTGATTCTATTGTACTGATATTGACACTTGCCTTGAGTAAACCAGCGATCTTTCTGTACATCTGCGATGGTGATGCGTGTATCTGGACTGGCCAGCAGTAATTTGGACAACAAACCTGAAGAGAGAAGTTGAACGTATATTAAATAAAGCTCCAAGACTATTCTGAACATGCAGTATTTAAACTTATACAATCTGGGACTCACTAAGAGGCATTGGTTGTATTTTCTTCCAAGGAGGTAGGTATGTTTTCTTTTGAAGCCAATCTGAATACTCCTGACAGCTCTCAGAGGGCTGGTCCCACGGCAACTCTGAAAACACAAAGACAGTGCCAAAATGTTTCCACACATCTACTGCATACAGCTGCTGCCAGAGGTGTAAAGAGAAGACATAGCTCAGGAAGTTGCACTACAGAAAGCTCTCGAGTTGCCAGTTGTACCATAATTGGGTTATTTCAGCCCTTTGGACGATACTAACTGATTCAATGCTCAGATCAGATTTTTTCTTTTGCTGTTTACATTATTTGTTGAATGTGGCCCATATCAGAATCCAGTGTGAACAGGTCACAGTCCTGAAGTGACGAACGAAGATCTGGAGTGACATAAAAGTCAAGTTCTGATATGACTGTTCACACGGAGGTCACATTGCAAACAAATCTGACCTGGCAAAGATTAGATTCCATGTGATTTGTGCTGTTCACACTGAACAAATTCCAGATTGGATATATGTCAGTCTGACCATGAATAGACCCCCACAGAGTGAATGAATTCTAATGAAACAAAGGTTGAATATCCTGCAGACAATTACATTCTGCTGGCAAAATATTATTCATTCAAATGTAGATCTTTAAGATCTCCTCCTGTTTTTAAAACATTAACAAAACTGATTGGAAATGATTTGGAACCAGCCTGACCATTTCACGATAC